GGATTGTTTCCTTTTGTGTGCAGAAGCATTTTAACTTGATATGATCCCATTTGTCCATTTTATTTAGTTGCCTGTGTTTGTGGGATATTACTCAAGAAACCTTTGCCCAGCCAGGCACCGTGGTTCACCCCTGTAATCCCAGCACTTTGGGAGGCCGAGGCAGGTGGATCATTTGAGGTCAGGAGTTTGAGATCAGCCTGGCCAAAATGGTGCCGTGTCTCTACTAAAAATACAAAAATTATCCGGGTGTGGTGGTGTGCACCTATAGTCCTAGCTACTCGGGAGGCTGAGACATGAGAATCACTTGAATGTGGGAGGCAGGGGTTGTGGTGAGCCACGATTGCACCCCTGCACTTCAGCCTGGGTGACAGAGTGAAACTGTGTCTCAAAAAAAAAAAAAGAAAAAAGAAAAAAAAGAAACCTTTGCCCATTCTTGTGTCCTGGAGCATCACTTCAGTGTTTCCTGATTTGAGGTCTTAGATTTAAGTCTTTAATCCATTTTGATTTGATTTTTGTTTATGGTGAAAGATAGGGGTCTGATTTAATTCTTCTGCGTGTGAATATCCAGTTTTCCAGCACCATTTATTGAAGAGACTGTCCTTTCTCCCAGTATATGTTTTTGACAGCTTTGTCCAAAATGAGTTCACTGTACATGTATGGATTTGTTTCTGGGTTCTCTATTCTGTTCCTTTGGTCTGTGTGTCTGTATTTATGCTAGTACCTTGCTGGTGACAGTAGCTCTGTAGTACAATTTGAAGTCAGGTAATGTGATTCCTCCAGTTTTGTTCTTTTTGCTCAGGATGGCTTTGGCTATTCTGGGTCTTTTGTGGTTCCATATAAATTTTAGAGTTGTGTTTTCTGTTTCTGTGAAGAGTGTACTTTTTTTTTTTTGTAGAGACAGGGTCATGCTGTGTTGTCCAGGCTGATCTCAGTCCTCCATTCAAGCAATCCTGCCTCAGCCTCCCAAAGCACTGGGATTATGGACATAAGCCACTACACGCAGCTTAGTATCTTTTACATAACTGGACATTCCTTCTCATTCTCTTTTGCTGGATTCTTCCCCTCTCTTGACCTCTCGTTGTAGTTCTCCAAGGCTTTTTTTGCCTTGTGGTAAAAAAACACAATGTAAAATTTACTACCTTAACCATTTTAATTTTACAGTATAGTAGTGTTAACTATACCTTATTATGTTTTTTCCTCTATATAAGCTCCCCTTTTCCTCTTCCCTTCTCTCTATACTCTTCCTTCCTAGGTGATCACAGCTAGTCCCTCGACTAAAATATCATCTATTTTGCTTTAGAGTAATTTCAGCTTCCCATCTCCTTACCTCCCTTCAGTTTTGCATATTCAGATTTTTGGATTATGTCCCTTCTGTTTCTAGAGTCTTTATTTAGAGTATATGTGGTCCACTAAATTATCACATATCAAGCTTCATTGCTTACCAGATTCCCTTTCATTTTCTTCTATCTTGAATCTATGTTAAGATGTTTTTATTGTTTGGTTATTTTCTCAAGTATTTTTACTGAGATAGTTTGCTTTAGTGGTGTAATTTTGGTAATCTTGAATAGCCTCAAACATCTTTTTGCCATCCCGTAACCAATCGGGGATATCTCGGCTGAGTATAAGATTCGTAACTTCTAGGCTGGGCACGGTGGCTCACGCCTATAATCCCAGCACTTTGGGAGGCCAAGGCGGGCAGATCATGAGATCAGGAGTTTGAGACCAGCCTGGCCACTGTAGTGAAACCCCGTCTCTACTAAAAAAAATATATATATATATACAAAAATTAGCTGGGCATGGTGGCGAGCACCTATAATCCCAGCTACTCGGGAGGCTGAGGCAGGAGAATCGCTTGAACCCAGGAGGCAGAGGTTTCATTGAGCCAAGATCATGCCATTGCACTGCAGCCAGGACAACAGAGTGAGAGACTCCATCTGAAAAAAAAAAGATTCATGACTTCTGCTGCTTTTTGTTTCAGTTAGTTTAGATCCTGTTGCATTGTATTCTAGCTTCTAGAGTTGATGATTAGTCCAGTACCCGTCCTAGTTTTCCCTTTATGGATAATTTTTCTTTCTTTCTGGACACTTGTAAGATTTTTTCTTTATTTGTAAAATTAATGAATTTTACAAGGGTAAAATAGATACTTGTCTTTTCTCTTTAATCCATCCTGAGACTTGGTTTCCCTTTTCACTTATCCACCAAAAGCTAGCCCAGAGAAATTTTCCTTTATTATTTACTTAATCGTTACCTCTCCTCCATCTGGTGCTTTTTCTCTTTTTGAACACCTGTATTTTGTAAAATAGGTCTTTTGGGACTATCTTCAAGTCTTTCTATTCCTTCAGTATTTCCATTTATTTAGCTTCCTGTTCTGTGCTTTGAGATAATCCATGTACTGCATCTTCCAGTCTCTTTATTTAGCTGTCAATAATGATCATCTTAAAAAAAAAATTCATGTTCTCATTTTGCTTTGAAATCTATACATGAATCTTCCCGGAAAAAAAAAAAATCATGTTTTTCCAAGTATTGCTTTTTAGTTTTCTAGTCTCTCAACTTGTTTACAAAGAACGTAATAAATTTTTTTACTCTTACATATGTTTTAAATTTCCATTAAAGTATTTGAATTTTATTTTTTATAAAGATATTTACTGGGGCCCGGTGCAGTGGCTCATGCCTATAATCTCAGCAGTTTGGGAGGCCTAGATGGGTGGATCACATGAGTCCAGGAGTTCTAGACCAACCTGAACAACATAGTGAAACCCTGTCTCTACAAATAAAAAAATTAGCTGGGTGTGGTGGCACACACCTGTAGTCCCAGCTACTTTGGAGGCTGAGGTGGAAGGATCATTACAGGTCAAGACTGCAGTGAGCTGTGATCATGCCACTGCCCTCTAGTCTGAGTGACAAAGGGAGACTGTCTCAAAACAAAGAAACCAAAAAACATATTTGTTCGGTAAGCTGACCGAATAATGAAATTTTTTGAATAATGAAATTTCATTTTCATTTAACTGTAATGTATTCCTTGGTTATATATTTACTCCAAATGCTTAATTTGTTGTTGATGTTGTTTTTGAGACGGAATCTCACTCTGTTGCCCAAGCTGGAGTGCAGTGGCATCATCTTGGCTCATCATTGCAACCTCTGCCTCCCAGGTTCAAGCGTTTCTCCTGCCTCAGCCTCTCAAGTAGCTGGGACTATAGGGGCGCGCCATCACACCTGGCTAATTTTTTATTTTTAGTACAGACAGGGTTTCACCATGTTGGCCAGGCTGGTCTTGTACTCCTGACCTCAGGTGATCCACTCTCCTCGCCTTCCCAAAGTGCTGGGATTACAGGCATTAGCCACCGTGCCCAGCCATAATTTGTATTTTATATAGAGAAATCAATCTTATAAGATTATATAATGTCAGGACTACTGGGAATAAAGGAAGAATAAAATAGAAAAAGTAGTTTTTTTCCTGCCTTTTTTTTTTTTTTTTTTTAGTTTTGTTTTGCTTTGTTTCAGAGATAGGGTCTCCCCCTGTTGTCCAGGCTGGAGTACAGTGGGACATTCACAGCTCAGCGTAGCTTCCAATTCCTGGTCTCAATCTGTCCTCCCACCTCACCCTCCTGAGACACTGGGATAACAGGCATGAGCCACTGTACCTGTACTTGCCAATTTTTTAAATATTCCAGCACTTTTTTTTAGGTTGTCTGGAAATATCCTCAGTTAAGGGATGGGTTTTCTCCCTTATCATATGTTTGCTGTCTCAAAGGAACACCCGGTAATCCTGACCATGCCTGCTATTCTTTCCCTTTGCCCTTTGTTTTTCTGCTACTTTATACTTGAGTTTATGCCCCATCCTCAATTATCATTGCATAGAATTTGTTTCTATAGGTTAATAAGGAAGAACTGAGAAAATAAAGTTTAGCAAAGTGATAGAAATAAAAACTCAGTGGCTGGGCGCAGTGGCTCACGCCTGGAATCCCAGCACTTTGGGAGGCCGAGGCGGGCAGATCATGAGGTCAGGAGATCAAGACCATCCTGGCTAACACGGTGAAACCCCGTCTCTACTAAAACTACAAAAAACTAGCCGGGCGTGGTGGCGGGTGCTTGTAGTCCCAGCTACTTCGGAGTTTGAGGCAGGAGAACGGTGTGAACCCAGGAGGCAGAGCTTGCAGTGAGCGGAGATCACGCCACTGCACTCCAGCCTGGGTGACAGAGCAAGACTCTGTCTCAAAAAAAAAAAAGAAATAAAAACTCAGCTTAAAGGTAGGCTTAGCAGATATACTACAGCATATGTAGTTATGTGTTTAACTTATGCTAATATGTAATTCACACTTATTTTCTTACATTTTAATGCAGCATTCTTCTCTTTATAGAGAAGACCAATCTTAAGGTTTAAGGATGAGGAGGGTGGTCATTGGTACAATCACTTACCACTTTACTCACATTTTTGAAGGGTCATTGTAGCTATCTTCATGGGCAGGCTGTGGGAACAGCACATCTGAAGCTCTAACACTCCCACATAGCCATATGCCTTTGGCAGCTGGAGAGTCATATAAAATCAGCCCTGACCCATGTTCTCCTACTTATAAACACCTCTCTCTGGCTTACTGCTTTAGTATTTATGAACTATTTTGTGGCAAGCTACTTAATCAGAACTTTAAAAATGGTTCACTTTGGCCAGGCACGGTTGCTCACGCCTGTAATCCCAGCACTTTGGGAGGCTGAGGTGGGCGAAACACGAGGTCAAGAGATCGATACCATCCTGAGCAACATGGTGAAACCCCATCTCTACTAAAAATACAAAAATTAGATGGGCGTGGTGGCACGCACCTGTAGCCCCAGGTACTCAGGAGGCTGAGGCAGGAGAATCACTTGAACCTGAGAGATGGAAATTGCAGTGAGCCGAGATCCCGCCACTGCACTTCAGCCTGGTGACACAGTGAGACTCCGTCTCAAAAAAAAAAAAAAAAAAGGTTCACTTTGATAATTAATTTTTTTTTTTTTGTTTTTTCCAGGTGTATGGTTGCTGATGAAGTAAGTGTTTCAATGGTTTTTATGTCTTTTATAAGATTACAGAGCTAGTTTTTGGTGTCTACTATTTTCCATGTACTCTTTCTCCATACAACTATATGTCTATATATGGGAATGGGGGGAGAGAGAAAGATGGGAGGGTGAGAAGGGAGGGGAGAGGGAATGAGAATGAATGAATGTGTGTGTTTGTGTGTGTGTGTTTGCAAGACATGCATCTGATACATATATTAATATTAACATTAGTGACCCCAAATTGTTATCTAGGATGCAGGAATGAGCTTTGAAATGCAGCCTGCCCAAAAAGCTTTTCTGTTATAATAGTACTTGCTTAAAAGCTAAAGGTTATTGTTACTTGTTTCCTATGAGTTTGAAATGTAGTGCTGAAATGGTATTTTATTATCACTCAACAGTTTGATACATTTAAATGGCATGTGCTTATATGTATCTCTATTCGTATTTTCTCTCTGAAATAGAGGCTCTTGTTACATGAACCATGATATTCTTTGTGTACATTCTCAGAGTAATATAAATCAATAAAGTTCTAATTTTTAACAACACTTTGAGAAATATGTTGCTTTTTTTCATTATATCTTTAAGAATAACAGCAAAATGGCTGGGTTCGGTGGCAATGACTCTTTTTCTAACTATAACATCTAGTCTAAATAAATGCCTATTGAATGAATGAAGAGTTCAAACTAAAAAATTAGGTAATTATAAATCAGCATGAACTATGAACCCCTATATCCACATTTCTATATAGGACTCATGTTATTCCTTAAGGAAATCCTTGAATTCTCTATTCATGTTTTTCCTTAAAAAGAGACTACAGGCTGGGCATGGTGGCTCATGCCTGTAATCCTAGCACTTTGGGAGGCTGAGGTGGGTGGATCACGAGGTCAAGAGATGGAAATCATCTTGGCCAAAATGGTGAAACCCTTTCTCTACTAAAAATACAAAAATTAGCTGGGCGTGCTGGTGGGTGCCTGTAGTCTCAGCTACTCGGGAGGCTGAGGCAGGAGAATCGCTTGAACCCAGGAGGTGGAGGTTGCAGTGAGCCGAGATCGTGCCATTGCACTCCAACCTGGGCGACAGAGCCAGATTCTGTCTTAAAAAAAAAAAAAAAGGGACTACTACAGAGATAAGCCATTGGTGGGAGTCTATATGTAAGCACAACTAAATCACAATTAATTGGGAGAATTTTTTGATGATTCCACTTCTATTTTTTAACAATTCAGTTTCCATTTCCTTCATTTCTAATATATTTTGAAAAGTGTATGTTTTGCTGTTATTTTTTTTTTTCCTTCTTTTTGAGACAGAGTCTCACTCTGTGCCCAAGCTGGAGGCAGTAGTGCGATCTCGGCTCACTGCAAGCTCTGCCTCCTGGGTTCACACCATTCTCCTGCCTCAGCCTCCCGAGTAGCTGGGACTACCGGCGCCCGCCACCACACCTGGCTAATTTTTTGTATTTTTAGTGTAGATGGGGTTTCACCACGTTAGCCGGGATGATCTCAAACTCCTGACCTCATGATCCATCCGCCTCTGCCTCCCAAAGTGTTGAGATTACAGGCATGAGCCACCATGCCCGGCCTGTAGTCTCTTTTAAAGGAAAAATATGAATAGAGAATTCAAGGATTTCCTTAAGGAATAACATGAGTCCTATATAGAAATGTGGATATAGGGGTTCATAGTTCATGCTGATTTATAATTACCTAATTTTTTAGTTTGAACTCTTCATTCATTCAATAGGCATTTATTTAGACTAGATGTTATAGTTAGAAAAAGAGTCATTGCCAGTGAAGAACTTAGCAATATAATTGGAGAAAGAAGACATAGACATTTGGGAAACAATAAACATACATTTTTCTTTTGAAACAGGATGAATTCTTTTGTTCTTTGTTTTTTGAGTTGGAGTCTCGCTCTGTCGCCCAGACTGGAGTGCAGTGGTGCAATCTAGGCTCACTGCAAGTTTCGCGTCCCGGATTCATGCCATTCTCTTGCCTTAGCCTCCCGAGTAGCTGGGACTACAGGTGCCCGCCACTACGCCCAGCTAATTTTTTGTAATTTTAGTAGAGACAAGGTTTCACTGTGTTAGCCAGGATGGTCTCAATCTCCTGACCTCAGGTGATATGCCCGCCTCGGTCTCCCAAAGTGCTGGGATTATAGGCGTGAGCCACCGTGCCTGGCCTGAAACAGGATGAGCTCTAAACGGCTCTTCATAAGTTAATTAATTTGAAAGTCCAAATGACTGAAAGAGACTTAAATGTTTTTAGTCCCTGAATATGTTTTCAACAAATAGAAATGTGAACTCATTCTCCAAAACCTCACGACTAGCCATAAGTATTTCCTCTTACATAATATACAGGTATAGAAAATATATGTCATATATGTATATGTATGTGTATAAATTTTTTTCCAAACAGACCAGTTTTATGTCCACAGAAAATATATTATAAAAGGTAACAAATAGTATTCTTTATGATTCCCACAAGTAAGTCATGGTGAAAAATCTTAGCAGTTATGGTACACCATTGGTACTTTGGTCCTCGCTTTGATGTTGTAGAAATTTAGATGGGCCTTAAATCTATGGAATTCAGCATGGATTGAGATAAACACTTGATCTGCACCATAACCCTTCTGGTACGGTTTGGCTGTGTCCCCATACAAATCTCATCTTGAATTGTAGCTCCCATAATTCCCACGTGTGATGGGAGGGGTGACCCAGTGGAGGATAGTTGAATCATGGGGGTGGGTCTCTCCCGTGCTGTTCTCATGGTAGTAAGTCTCATGAGATCTGATGGTTTTATAAATGGGAGTTCCCCTGCACACGCTGTCTTGCATGCTGCAGTATCAAAGATGTGACTTTGCTCCTTTTTTGCCTTCCACCATGATGGTGGAGCCTCCCTAGCCATGTGGTGGAACCATGAATTAAACCCCTTTCCTTGATAAATTACCCAGACTCGGGTGTGCCTTTATTGGCAGTGTGAGAACAGACTAATACACCTTCTTAACTCTTACATTCTCTAACAAACCATTATCCTCAGTTAACATCAGTTAACGAGTATGCAGAGTTCATGAACCCTTAGCCAGCAGGAGTCTTCCCATTGTACAAATCGCTTTTCCATTTCTTATTATTTACAATTACATAGCACTTTTCACATTTGACTAATTCACATGTTGTCATCTTCTTTCAAAACCTTCTTTTTAATTGAATAAATGTCAAAATCCGTTTAATATTTCCTCAGTACTTAAAAAAACTTCCACTTTTCTGTCCATCATAATTACTTAATTACTTCTCTCCTTTCACCAGCATTTTTGAAGACCCGTTATTTTACACCTATTTGACTTGACGGGTTTATGATGTTATTTTTATTAATTATGTTTATTAAGAAAAAATTCTCAACTTTATACATGAATATAAGAATCAGGCCATAGAAATAAACAGAATGGCATATAAGACTTAAGATCACAGCTCATAACCCCTAATAATCTATTTAGTGGTAGGGTTGGAGTGCCATTTTTATGGAATCTTACCATGTCAGTGTTTATGAAAGTTCATAAATTAAATGTGCTGAAGTAAAAAGAACTTGTATATATGTAAATTATATGAACTCTGGTTTAACCTTCATTCTATTTTCTAATATTGCTTTTCTTCTCTTGCTCTTATCATAAAACAGTGGTGAAGCCAGAAAAGGAAGTACAATTTATAATTTGAAGGTCAACCACTTTTTGATTTGTAAATTAAAAATAGATTTTCATGTGATGACTGTTTGACTCATCAAACAGTGAAAAGCCTTGGGAGAGCAATTTTACATCTGTGTTATTGAACCTACTTTTTTGTAAACACTTGAATACCCACTTGAAGTATTGTGTAATGTAGCTGTCTGCTGTAATCTTTTCTACCTAGCTTTAGAAACAAATGACGTCCTTCACTGGTATTATTCCACCTTCTCTCAGTATCTTTTCACTGTTACCTTTTTCTTTTCTTTTTTTTTTTTTTAATAAGACCTAGGGTACATGTGCACAACATGCAGGTTTGTTACATAGATATACATGTACCATGTTGGTTTGCTGCATCCATCAACTCGTCATTTACGTTAGGTATTTATCCTAATGCTATCCCTCCCCCAGCCCCGCACCCCCCGACAGGCCCCAGTGTGTGATATTCCCTGCCCTGTGTCCAAGTGTTCTCATCGTTCAGTTCCCACCTAAGAGTGAGAACATGTGGTGTTTGATTTTCTGTCTTTGAGATAGTTTGCTGAGAATGATGGTTTCCAGCTTTATCCATGTCTGTGCAAAGGACATGAATTCATCCTTTTTTATGGCTTCATAGCATTCCATGATGTATATGTGTCACATTTTCTTAATCCAGTCTATCATTGATGAACATTTGGGTTGGTTATTGTGAATAGTGCCCCAATAAACATATATGTGCATGTGTCTTTATAGTAGCATGATTTATAATCCTTTGGATATATACCCACTAATGGGATCACTGGGTCAAATGGTATTTCTAGTTCTAGATCCTTCAGGAATAGCCAC